CACACACACACACACACCACAAATTTAGATATTTTGACCATACTGCAACCTTGGAAATTAACTGTCGATGAGACTGTAAAGGTCACCCAGGCATACAAATCACTTCAGACAACTTCAGACAACAAGCTGTACTGCACTATATAGTCCGTTACATAATTCGTGAACACGTTTGAAGCTAATTAAATACCTCAGGAGCCACTTGTTCGATTTTAACCATATTTTTTTGTGATAGTTATGTGCACCCACGACATTATGAAATTTCAAATTAAGTAGCTAATTAGAGACGGGTTAATTAATTACTCTTTATCAGTTAGTGCTTTCAGTATCTATAATCCAAGCACGAAAAGATGTATACATTCAGGGGCGTACAAAAAATATAACAAAATGTGGCAAGAAGCTAGTAGTCTAAGTCTAAGCATTGGCCTATATGATTTCTTTCGCACTGTAAAATTTCCCCACCATTTGATTTCCTGAACGTAAACTCAACACGTCTCACTGTTTTCCAAAGACATTTCTTCGATATGCTTTTATAATAATTATTGGACAACCACCTTTTCAACTTTCTGGGAGTAACAAATTCATTTCTTTCAAACATCTGAACAATTGCTCGTCTGACAACCTATTGAAACTGTTAGTCTTCAAAGGCCGCCCTCTTTAAGCTGGGAAAGTCTGTCTCTTCTCCCATTTCGTGTTGCTTTAATGCATCTTGGCAATGTGCTTCTGTTCAAACCTAAGGCATGCCGAGTTCTTTTTTTGGATTCCCTATATCATGGTACAGACCTCCCCTCTTTGCCTCTCTATTAAAATGGGAGTAGAGCAGAAGCGAAACCTTTTGAAGAGTGGTGAAAGTGTGTTTGAATGATTTCTTGTCCCTCATATAGTGCGAACAAATCATTGACACAAAGCAAATTCAAGCACAAAATTTACAAAGGAGCATCCAATTAATAAAGCTATTTTGTGAAATGATTCAAAATCCCAAAAGCAAGACTACACCCCAGGGGTTTCTCATTCAATAGGTCCCGGTTTGAATCCGGATGGCGACTTAAAATTTTCTTCTCTAAAACAGTCTCCTTTCACACCCTTTCCTGCTCTCTAACAACGTTCTGTCGTCTGTTTTCGTCTCCACTTTCTGCCCCCATCTCCTCACCGCCTTATAGCCCCCTCCTCTGGGCTCCTGACTCTTTCTGCAGCCTTTCTTACTGCTACTCCTTGGCTCCTTCTTACTGCTGTCTTTCAGCCACACCCCTGATCTTCTGGTAGGAAAGATCTACACCTAGCCTTCTCAGATAAGGGCAAAAATCTCGGAGATCCCGTGTGCAAGTCGCGCACGTTAAAAATCCCTTAGTAGTCCATAATCGAAACGAGTAGGCGTCGGCCGCAACCCGAGCA